GCAGACGGTGGGGTAACGGGCCCTGGGAGCCGGGCGCTGGGCTGGTACTCCCTCTCACACTCCCCCGGGCTGCTCTGGTTGCAGGCACAGGCCAGCCCCAGCCCCATGGAGGAGGCCGCCGGTGCCACAGCAGAGGGATCTGGGGTGGAATTCGGCTCCGCTGAGCGAGATACAATCAGAGTTCCGTCACATCTTGCTATGGAGGTGATTTCCTTTGAAATGTTCCTAGGGCAGCGTGTTCCCGCGCGTTCCATAGGCAGCCACATCTTCATGGAAGCAGTTTCAATAGGAAGAAGTATAACAAGCGAGCAATTATTACTGTCTTGCCCTGCATATAAAAAAAAAGCCACTAGAAAGTAAATTTAGTTACAGTCTTGTGTGTCAGCAGCATCTTGAAGGATGGGTTTCTCACTCAGCTCTTAGCATGTTTCTGCTGTAGGCACTTTAAAAAGGAAGTTAACCACATTTCATAGGTGCGCATACTTGAGCTCTTTTTTGAGGTTTGTTGGCGATAAGGTTTTTTTTCTTTCATTGGTACTGCACGATACTTGAGTTTGGCAAATGATGACATGGAATAAACCAATGTCTCTTTGGAAAGAAAGCAGCGAATAATTTAGCTACATGTAGTGCAAGCTGGAAGACCTTCTTTAATAAATCCCTAAGGGTGTTTTTTTTAAAATTGATGTGAGCTAGAAACACGTGTGAAATTAAAAGTGGTAGGTAGAATTTTTGCCAGGATCTTTACTATCTTCATGCTAACTTAATTTAATTTAATTCTAAATTAAACTTCTGTGCCCTGTGACAAAAGGCAGATGTTACAATGCCGCCACGTTACCATTCAACAAAGTACCCAAGATGTTATAATGCTGCTGTTCTGCTTTTTGCCTGTGTTGTGTGCTAGGCAATAGAGGCAGAAAACGGGAACGACAGTGAAGAGGAAGAGTCTGTTCCTCTGGAGGACCAAGACGAGACATTTCCCCCAGCAGAAAGAGGAGCCTGTGGAGCCACAGAGCTGTTTGTTAGTTCTGCAGAAGTGAGACACGATAATAATATATATAACCTTATTCGCAGAACGCATGGCCAGTATTTGTAACTTCAAATTCTTCTGATGCAGTTTTATTGCTGCAAACACAAAACCAATCATTATTGGAATGGAGAGAAGCTAATTGGTCAAGCAGGGAGTATACAAAAACTGACCAAACCGGAGCAGCTCCTTTGTTGTGCTATATATGTGTAAACTTTCTTTCATCAGGAGTGACACAGCTTTGGCAGTTTATCTGTGAGCTGATTTTAGAACAAGGCTCTCTTCTTGATTCTTTGTCTGCATTGTTCATATCTCATGATGACAAAAATAACCAGATTTTTAGGGGCAAATAGAGCTAGATTGAAAAGCTGTTTCAGGTGATGGATTTTATGTTTCAGGAAAAGTCTCCTGAGACTTTCTCGGACAAAGTGGAATTAGAGAGTTGTCCTCCTGAATTGGGTGACATGGAGCAGCCATTAACAGACAGCAGAAACCCTTCCCACGCGTCACCAGGAGCTCCTCCGCAGGCGTCTGCGTTGTCAGTGGAGTTGAACAGCAGCACAGAGTCGGGTATCATTCAGTTCCTTATTAACAGTACAATACTTGATACCATCTATCAAGCACAGTTTCTAGTTTTCTCCCTTTCTGATCATTGTTAATCCAACTGGAGGCATCATACTATGAAATCTAAGTCTTTTTCTTTTTCCTTTTCTTTTTTTTTGGGGGGGGAGGAAGGGGAGAAGGTCTGGGTAACACTGGAGAACCCGTTTCTCTCTATTCAGAGTCGGCCTTTGAGCAATTTGATCAGCTAGCTAGTGAGCATGGCGGCCAGCGATGGGAACAGGAAAGCCAGCAGCATGGAGCTGAGGAAAATGAAATAAGTGGAAGAAGTGAGGAAACCATAGAAGAAACAGAACTGGTTGTCTTGGATCCAGAACATGTGAGAAGTCCTCAAATCTTGTCATTCCTCTTTGCAGACTTGCTATTTTGATTTGTATAAAACATGCAAGGTAAATTGTAAGCAGTGCCTTACGCTATATGCTGAGACTACATATTTAAAAATAGCTTTTGCAAAAGTACTAACTCTTGAGTGTGTCTACGCCCTCAATATTAACCTCAAAGTTGCAGGTTCAGAAGTGAGCAACATAGTGGACAAACCTGATCCTTTTCGCTACTGAAAGAGAAGTACTTGCAGCAAGAGTGAGTGGATGGGTTCTCAGGTGTAGCTCTTCCTATATGTTTCTGACTTGTAAATATTCTCAGTAGTCACTCTCTGATGTCAACAAATACCCACTACATAACTCTTCTCACTCGCTACAGCGAGACTTGTTAGAATAGGAATGGCAGAAAATACGATGTTTTATTTAATAGTGGAGTGGCAGTAAGGTTTCTTCATAATTTATTTACACAAGTATGTTAAAGTTTATCAACGTCGTACTTCTTTACAGCCTCTGATGAGAAGATTCCAGGCTGCCCTGAAGAATTACCTTACTAAGCAGATGGAAAAAGTGAACCTAGAGCTTCAGGAACTGGTATACGGCATTCTTTCTTTGCCTTCCCACAGCAGCCCACCCCTGTCCAAGCTGAAGTGCGATAGCTAATTTCCTCTTGTGTTTGCAGAGGACAGCAACGAAAAAGGGCAAAGCACAGAGAGAGGAGCTTGGGGTGATTCTTTACGGAGCGCAGCAGCAGCTGGCCCGTCTGCAGATGGAACTGGAGAAGAGCCATGGCCACCGTTCTCAGGCAGCCACAGTGCGTCAGCAGCTGGAAGAGGAGCTGGAGGGCCTCAGGCTTACTCACAAGAAAATGTGTCAGAACACAGATGATGAACGCAAGAAAGGTGACTGAGGCAGTCCCTGCAATACTTCCTAATTCTAGTACTATGTGGAGAAATTAATTTGAATATAAGCCAAGCATTGGATTGAAAAATACAGTGAAATGCATCAGGAATAATGTGCTCATTGAAAAGTTTCACAGATATTCCCGGTTGCCATGTAATTTCTATTGTTTCTAAGACCGTGTTGCTATGTTGTACTTCTAAGAAGGTCTTTAGGACTGAAACTAGCAGCTCCTGGCAGGTAGGCTGTTCTGTGACTTAGCAGGAGGAAAATTCCCATCGCTTTCTTATGTTTGCCCATGTCTCTGTAAGGGTGCAATGAGATTGCAAAGGTGGTAGGTCATTAGGGGCATCCAGGAGTGTGGGAGCCCATTCCAGCCAAAGAAACGGACTCGACTCATTCTTTTTGTGTTGCGGTGTTTGGATAGGAAACAGCAAAATAATTTCAATGGCAAGGATAGCTAAGCATTAAAATAAATTGCCTAGAAAGTTTTTGCAGGTTATTGGAAAAAATTAGAGAAGCATTCAACAGACCGAGAAAGAGACAGTTCTGTTTTGGGCAGAGGAGTGGATTCACCAAATCCTGAGGCCCCTTTGTGTGCTGGGAATCAAGGAACTGCTTACCAAGGTTTTTGGCTTTGCTTGTGGAGATATACTCCAAAGGGAGTCATGCCTTATTTTTTCAGGGAGGGCTGACGTGCGAGTTTTGCCTTGAATGCTTCTATATTTCTTTCCCTTTTATCTCTGTTTAAAGCGTGTGTTTAAAACATACTTTTCTGTGAATATTTTTCCTCTTGCCTTCCCAGTTTCTGCAATGCAGACTCAGGTTGAAAACCTGGCCTTGCATCTCTTCTACATGCAGAATATGGACCAGGATATGCGTCACAATATTTTACTAATGAAACAGTCGACAAAGAAGGCTGAGGCAGAGAGGTTCCACGCTGAGGTGGAAAAGAAAAAACAGGTATCAAGTGAAACTTCTTTACGATAAGTACATACAGATGACAGTTAGTGGTGAGTCTTGGAGGAGGTGCTGCCTTGTCAGAAGGGAGGTTATAGTGACTGAACCATGGAAGATATGTGAGGATATTTTTCTCAAATAATTGGGAAAACCCCAAACCCCCAAAAGCAGGCTTTTCTAAAAATGAGAAGAATCCCCACCGCTAAGATCGTGACATGTACTGCCCAACGGTTTTTGGCAAGCCTTATAATAGTAAATCACCCTTCACTCGAGCAAAGGGTGTGTGAGGGCAGAAAGGTACTCAGTAAAGAATTATCATTTGTTCAAGTATCGAGAATTATTCTGAGTCACAATGAGTTTCACAATGAAAAGTGAACTTTGAAAGTGAACGGAGCTGGTTGGTGTGCTGGAGCTCCCTCTGCTGTCTTCTGCTTGCAGTTGGACACAGGCTGATTATTATTTATGCAGAATTGCATGCAAACAGTTGAAATTAAAGGGATTTAGTTGGGGTTTTTAACAAAATATTTTAAAACATAAATTGTTAAGATTCCCAGCTGCTGGAGAGATGGCACAATATAATCCATGCTGACAGGAATGAAAGCTGCTTCAGATCTGAAGTATCAATTTACTATTGCAAATGGAATAAGAAAGAATCAGCAAAGAAGGTCTCATTCTCTTGAAAGTTGTCACTGCTGCATTCATGAGTCATTTCTATATGAATGGAAAAGTTTGAGTAGGAATCAAATCGAATCCAGTTGCCAATTTAACCGCTTTTCTAGCCTATGTTATTCTTGTAGAATATAGTTGGCTATTCCTCATCCTGAACTGTTTAGCTCTCGCTCTTCAGGATCTTCTAGTAGACCGCTTAACAAGAAAAGCCTATGAACTCCAAGAACAGATTGCTCTGCTTGAAGCTCAGTTTGTGGCCCAGGCGGAGGACACAAAATTAACTCGGCAAGCAGTAAATGAGGTAGGACGGTGCTTTTTTTTTTGCTTCTGGTTAATAATTCCCTCTGGAAGGACTGACCCCTTTGGCTCACACTCACGTGATATGTACAATGTAGGCCAGAGTTGTATGGTTTGCTCCTGGTTGCAGGAATTAAGACTTCCCCCCCCCGCCCCCTCCTCCTTTGTCCTTAAGAATTGCCCGTAAATCACTTTCTCCCCCACCTTCTCAGCCTTATTTTTTCCTGGAGATCTATGCTCTGTGGTCTGGTGTGACAGTAAACTAGACACGTATTAGTTGAAGCTGTTCCTGCTCAGCATATTATGAACAGAAAAGAAAATAATTGTATTGTCACATGAATTTGGTTTCTCAACCCAGTGTAGATTCATCCCATCTAAAAATTCTCTCTTCCTTAGGCTTGTATGGAGGTACAGGCTATTAACATGGAGAAAAAGCGATTGATGAACCACTGGAATAGCAGCTTGGCTGGAATGAAGCAAAGAGATGAGGCCTATATTGCCACACAAGAGTTGCTTAGGTATCATATCTGGAAACAGCCCCAAAGGAGATCTCAAATAATTTGGACAGGAGGGATTAAAAAATGGGCAGTATGTCTTCTGTCAAGTCTATTTCTGTGTGTGCAGGATATGTCAGACAGAACAAGTTTCCTGCTGTATAACATGCAATAAGGTTAAAGGATAAGAAGCACATTTCTTTGTTACTATTTTCTTTATCCAAAACGCTACTCTCCCTCAAAATGTGCGGGTTTTTAAAAGCTGGTTAGAGTTTTTCTATTCATGTTTTATTCCTTTAAAAGAGTTCCTTCACCTTTGCAACATCTCTCAATCTCTCAATCCAGAGAGCTAGACAGCAAGAAGGATTTATCTATCGCTTTTGGTTAGGATTTTGTGATGCCTTTAGAAATCTTTGGAAAGCTTTCCTATTGTTGCCAAAGGAAGTGTTTATTTGGCCTGGAGTCTTAAAGCTTGACCAATTCTCTGAGAACAAACAATATGCTTTTATCCTGGTAAGAATGGTGGGGTGGGGACAGAGAACTGAAAGAAGGACTTAATTTTCCTACATGCATTTCCTTTTAAATCTCAATGTCTCCATCCATCTTCTGATGACTCTGCACTGTCACAGCAGACTAGCCTTAATAAAGATCTTCCTTCTTGGTCAATGTTGCTACAATAGCATGTTTGAAAAGAGGAATTTGTAGATGACTGTTCAGCACACAAATCATTTTCCACCCTCTTTGCCTCTCCAGCAAGTACAGACATGACCTCAAGTCCCTAGAAATGGACATCCATGGTTGTAGAAAGTCGATCAGGAAGGAGGAGGAGAAGAATGAGTTGCTTGTCACCATCCTGAGCCGTTCACAGAACGATGCCAACACGACAAAGAAACTGATTGCCCAGTGCCTTTCGAGGCAGGAGGCCTTGAAGGTTGAATTTGGCACCTATACTCGCATTCTCCATGAGACAGAGCAGACCCTCAACAGGACCAAGATGGTGAGAAGAGTCACTTGGAAGAAGAACCATTTTGAACTGGATATGGATATTTAGTCCCCTTCCCCAAACAGTTGTAGTGATCCTGTTTCTGTCTTCCCTACTTTTTAGGATCAAGCCGCTCGGCTGAATGAGTTGCTGTCCATCGGTAAGGATATAGAGAAAGGAACTGATGCCAAAGACCAGATGGAGAATGAAATCGTGGCAAAGCTTCAGGACCAGATGATGTCCAGCAAAGCCACAAAGCACTTCTCACAGCTGGCTGCAAAACTTCATAGGAGAAAAACAGATTTGGTATGGTATCTCTTCCCTTTGGGAGGGCAGGGGAAGGAAACTGCCTAGAGCTGTGTTTCTCAAGTGTGTTTTGTCAGCATCTTCATTTCATTTTTCAGGTCTGCAACTGAAGCTCTGCTGGGTTTGCAACTTCAGTTTAGTTCTTCCAGTGATCTTATTGCAGCATTCTTGTGTATGCCGGAGAGTTTGGCCAAAAAGGCCTGACACATAACATACTGTTCTTTCTTTACTTAAAAAATGGGGCAGAATGATGAATCCTGGGAGCGTTTACTGTAAAGTGGTTCAAATTGTTATGTATTGCAGGAAGACAGTGGATATGTGATACTTTTATACTCCACATTAAACTAACTTACATCTCTATACTGCCTCATGGAATGTGATACAGGCATACTTTTGGTTTCCAAAGAAGCATTACAGTCCCAGGAACAGTCAAACCACACCCACAGTTCTTCATGGCATGATAAGTTGCTCTCTTTGGGAGCGTCTAACTGGTACAGATAGAAAAACTAGAAGATTCAGCATAGTATTTATCGTATTGAGTTGTGTGGGCTGGCTCTAACACATCATGCTCACACCTCCGTATTTTCCAGCCTGCCCCTGGGTTTTTTCAGTCAGGTGCATATCTTAAGTAACTGCAAGACTTCCAGGGTTGGCTTCCACTGTGAGAAAGGCCCCGGGGTGAGGGGGGCAGATACACAAACAAGTGGATACTCTGCTTTGACTTCTATTGGCCTCTGTGCTGCACAGGAGAATACAGTGCGGACACTACGGACTTGGAAGAGCCCAAATTGCAACCTCTCGCAGCGCGGGCCAGGCTGTGCAGAAGCAGCAGACAGGCTCTTGAAAGTTACCTGGCTGCATTCATGCTGCACTCAAACAAAAGGCATACCCGTGCTTTCTGGCTCCTACAGCTGCTGTTAGGTGAGGGGTTCGTTTGTCAGGCACTTTGGGGAAGGCACACTACAGTAACGTCCTGCCGCTGTTAGCCAGATAACTAGAGACATCTGGGCACGGAAGATAACCGCAGACGCGATGAGTGAGGTCTCTTAAAGGGCTTTCGGATGGTTAAGCTCCATAATGTTTTTCGACACCCTTATGGCAGAGGTAAATATTGCTGTCTTCTGTCAATAGATGGGGGAAACAAAGGTACAGGGAGGGTAAGTAGCTTGCTTACAGCTTGTAGCACAGCCTGGGAGTAGAATCTAAATCCCCTGATTCCTGTGCTTTGATAAGTAGGCATTGCAAATCAACGAGTTACTGTTGGTGACAGTAATTTGTTTTCTGTCTGTTGATATTCCTAGGAGCTGCATTTTTCCAAGGTTGAGAATGATATGGCCCAGGTTATTCTGAATGCAACTCATACCAACGGCAGGCTGACAGTTCTCCAAAAGACACTTTGTGAGCTGGACAAGGAAATAAAAAATATCCATGATCTGATCAGCTGCAGGGAAAGTGAGATTGCAAAGGGCAGTGTCCTGACTGAGAACAAGCGAGGGGTCATCAGCCAGTACAACAAGAGGTTGGAGATGATTCTTTCTCAGCAGGGGGTATGTACGTTCATGTTTCAATCCCAAACTTGATTTCATGCTTTGTGGTGACCACAGATGCCCTTGATAAATGTAACTCTGTAAGTGCTGGATAGTTAAAACTTTGAGGCATCAGATTGTGATTTAAAAGCTGCACTAGTTAATGTACGTGTTTACATTTGTCAGACAGTTCCCAATGCATGTGAAGAGGAGCTGGCATTAGGGAATTGTTGTGAAATGAGGGTGTGCCTAGCCCAGATTTCTGCAGGGAGTTGTCTACACCTGATGAAAATACACACAATGACATCGGTACTGTAGGATTAAATAGGATCTCATTATCAAATCGGCAAAGACTGACGAGAAGAGAATGGAACAGGCAGAGTGACTGAAGTTGCTTGGTGGTTGTCCCCATTCAGATGATACCCAGGTCTGTCCCTAGCACTGTGAGCTGTAAGACCTTTATGGATACCAGTGCAAAAATGATTACTGTGGCATATGCTTTGCAAACTCTTGAATGTCCAGCTGTGCCTGTTGTAAGAGCTCAGGGGGCCTCTCGCCAGAGTTGGAACCTTTTGGGCTTCTGTTGCATTTGTTCCTGTGCGGCCAGGAATTATTAGTTCCATCCAACTCACGGGAAGTGGAGGCAGAAAGTAACTAGCTGACAAAATAACAGTGTAGTTGAAGTATTTAGTAGGCATCTCAGCAGTTGGACCAGCCTTCTGCAATGATGCTATAAACAAGAGCTCCAGCAGCTTCTGCCTGATTAATCTTAAACCTTGTCCTCGTACAGGGGCAAGAATTGGCACCACTGGAAATTGAGATCAACAAGCTGACCAAGCAGATAGAAGAATGTAATTCTGAGGCGATGACACTGCAGAAGTACTGGCTCAATCTGCAGAAAGAGCTGGTCAAGTTAACACACGAACGGGAGGAACAAATAGCCTCCTTAGATATGTTAAAGAAACAGATCACAATAATGCAGCAGAAGAAAGTGCGCACTGAAAGTAAGTCATTCCCTAACTCTTTCTTGAAATGTTCATCCATGAATGGACAAAAAAGGGAGTGACTTACAGACGGGTAATGCTAGACCTCCCCCAAAGGATGCCCTCAGTGCTCCTATACATGTGTGAGCGGTAGTGCAAATGGTCCCAGTACTATACTGGAGGGCTAAGAGCAAGGCACCTTCTGCTGTCTTGCATGTCGTTATTTCCTGTAACGATCAATCCTGCTGTCTTAACTGACACAGTCAAACCCTAAGAGATCATGTCATGTGTTACACTTCTTAAACAAAGTTTGCAAGTAGTTGGTAGGTAAATGTCCCCACCGATGATAGCACTTTCCTTGGCCAAAACCAACTCTTTTCCACAGCAGTCTCCTTCAAAACCTTATTTGATTTTCGGGCTTGTGGAAAAATGTTTTGGCTGGGTATGTGGGACACAGTGTTGTCTGGTCTAATAGCGGTTTGTCACAACCCAGTGCTTGTGGGAATTTTATGACTTTCTTCTGTTCACCTGAAGATGAAATTCAGCAGGAAACGAAAGAACAAAAATACATCGAACGTCACATGAGGAACATGTCAAATGACTTGATAAAGTTGAATGTGTTGATCAACAAGAACAACAGCAGCTTCGAGGAGCTGCAATATGACAACATTATCACAGAGAACGAGTTTGTACGCTCTCTCAAGGTACAGAGGCTTGACACCTCATTTCCAGGTCTCAACCTCCCATGCAGATGAGAGGCAGTGACCCTGTAAATCTTTCTCGGTCTGACAATGTTGTATTGGTTTATGCTTCCCAAATCTAGGCAGCAGAAAAAGAATCGGTTGAGATGCAGGAGAAGCACAGTCAATTGACTGAGGAGAAGGAAAGACTCCTAAGCAGCCTGGTGGAAGCAGAGTAGGTACCAGAGAGATTCTTCCTTTGTGCCACAGTCTTTGAACATGTGTCCAGGTTACCTTTCTTCTGCAGTCATCAAACTGAACCAGCACCAGCAAAGGTGCTTCTGTCCTCCTTGGGGAAGATGAAAGGAGTTTAATGAGTTTTTGAAAGGCAGAAACTGAAAGGTGCTTTAGCTGTCTCTGGAACCAGCAAGAGCTGAGGGGATGTTGGCTTTAACATTGCCAGCATGCTTGTGCTGGGCGTTGCCAAGATCTGTACAGGAAGAGTCCACGTGCTGTCTCCTCTGCCAGGAACTCAGAGCGAGTGTGCTGTGCTGGGCAATTACTTGGGATCCATCAGCCCCCTGTCAGGCTGGACATGCTTGTTGTACAGTCATCATGCCATTTTCTAAATTGCGGAGCTTACCGTCTGACCTCACGCTGCTCTGTAGCTGCCCTTCTATGTGCTCTGTATGCAGATCCTTAGCTTCTGCTGACCCGTTCAGCTCTGTGTTCAGAATCATCTCGGGAGTGTGCTGCTACCGATGCACAGAGAGAGCGTCCTCTCTTGTTTACAAAGGCACTGCTTTCCCTTTCTGCCATTGCAGGCATCAAATCATGCTATGGGAGAAGAAGATCCAGCTGACAAGAGAGATGCGTGCAGCGGTGGATTCTGAGACAGGACAAGGCGAAATCCAAGCCATGAGAACAGAGATCCACAGGATGGAAGTAAGCCATGGGAAAGAGGAGCGAGGAGGGGAAGCTACACGCAACATATTCAGCTTCGGTGTTGCTGAAACTTAAGGCAGGAGATGAGAAACAGGCTGGAGAAGTAGCTTCTTCGAGGCCATTAGAAGTATTGGAAATCTTACCACCCTGCAGACAGATTGAATTAAATACATCCAGCGTGCACACACTTTATGTGTTCCTCGTGCGTGCTGCGTAATAGGCTGCAGCAGAATCAAGATACACCTGAGAAATCTAAAACCTGTTATGTCTGCCACCTTATTCTATGACCGCAATTTATAAGCAAAGAAATGTTGATCACTAAATCATCTTAATCACCGGTTAGGGACTTCTTCTGTCTTCTGGCAAAGCAACTCTTCCCTTTCATTCTTGGGATACTTCTGCTCTTCTGCTTTTCCTATTGCTAATCAGTTCCAGTGAAATGTTTTGGAGATTACTTTAGACGAGTTGATAATCCAGCCCTCACATAGGGCAAACTGGGTTTGGATTCAGAGCAAATTTGGCTTGCCAAAACGTGTATCTGGTTTACGTTGATGGGGTGTGCCATGCAGAAGACTTTGGTTAGGTGCCATGCACAAACATTCGCTATTTTCAGCCTATTTTGTATCTTGACAAATGGCAGGTCCGCTATGGCCAGCTCATGAAGCAGCAGGAGAAGATGATTCGTGATATGGAGGCATCTGTTTCTCGTAGAGAGGCGATAGTGATTCGTGGAGAGGGTCAGAACAAAACAGATAAGAAACGCATCACCAAGAGCGACTTCTACCGCAAGAAACAGGAGCTGAGAAAGAAGATCAGCGAAACCCAGAAGGTGAGCGAGTAAGGCAGGGCTGCAAGAGTCCACGTAGCCCATATTTGCCTTGTAATGAGCACCAGTGCGCACTCAGCACAGACTCACGGGGCGTCAGTGCACAGCGCAGGCCCTGTGTGGGTGCAGCGCTGTGCAGGGGTCAGGCTTTGGAAACTCCTTAAAAAAAGGAAAAAAAAAAAAAGAGTCCTGGGAAGATGGCCAGGAGTGCAGGTGAACTAAAGAACCGGAATCTGCCATTTCCTTCTCTTCCATTTACTAGAACGCTCAAGACTGCAGCAAAACCATCCTGGAGCTGGAGAGCACCCAAGCATCCCGTAGTGCCGCCTTCTTGGAAAAGCAGCAAGAATTGCGCAGGCTGCAGGCTGAGTCCGATGGCCTCGATTCAGACGCAGAATGTCTTCGGAACAAGAAACGATGGGTGAGCACATCCGCTTCCTTGCAGTAGGCGAGCCAAATAGAACCTGCTGCTTCCTGCTGCTGCCAGTTCCTTGTCGCCATCTCACCACAATCCTGAACTGGGCGTGCTTGGCATGTAATTTTGGCAACACTTTAACTGAGCACTTTCTGAGGGCTCATAGTGGTCCTGAACTGATGCTGCAGTTGTGCCCTTAGCAAAGCAGCATTCACCTGGAAATGTCAGCCTAAAGGACGTTGTTTGTAGCTTGAAAGTATCTACTAACAACTATCCTTTGTGAGCGCTAGCTGGCTGCTCCTAAGTATGCTACAAATGTGAGAGCCAGCTCAAGGTCTTGAAAGTTTTTAAGTTGGTGAAACTCAGTCCCAGCAAGGGTTGTATGTGTGGGTATTTCTCTGATTTATGGAGTTCTGTGACGTGCCTGTACCTCTACAACGCTCAGAATGGGGATGCTCTTTGGTGTTAGAATAGTGGTATCCTTCTTAGGAAGCCCTTCCACTTCAAAATATGATGGTTACAGTACTGGTGACACAAATCCTGTTGTTTTCTTAGTTCTTTTCTGTGTGCAGTCTGCTGTTAAAGCAATTTTTGTTGTTGCTGTTCTCAGAACCTTTTGGAGATTGTGGCCTACCAGACACGCCAGAAGCATCTGCAGGCGCTGAAGGAGGGGAAGTACGCTCCCCTGTGCCACACTGAACAAGCCTGGCGAAACGAGCAGCAGAAACTGCAGGACCGGCTCCGTACCATTAACGCCATTGTCCACCAGATCCAGGAGGAACATCCTGAGCACCAAAGGGCTCTGCGGTGGCTCAGTCAGTGCTTGGAGTCCAGGCTCGGCTCGTGGGAAACCTAACAGGGGCGGACAAAACACATATAACCGCCTGTCCTTCTTCTAGAGGCTGCGGGCTTTGTAAAGGAAGAGATTAAATAAATAAACAAATACAAGTATTTATTAAAGATGGGGCATTGCAAATGTTTTTGTTTGTTTCTTTTTACATTTCCCCTTTGCTGCAAAAGGCGGGTTCGTCAGCTGCCCTGCCCCGCCTGGCGTAGC